ACCTCAGTAAAGACTGTAACGCCTGCTTTAGCTGCATTGAGTGACAGATCTCTTTCAAACTTTCAGGAATTGATAAAGGCAACAGCATGTACAAAATTTGTATCTCGGAGATTTGATGTCGGTGACCAAAGTTAAGGTCAATTACACGCCCTCTCCCATTATCAATGGGAGAGGACGCAAAGTAAATGGTAGAAAATTGAAAGGCGCCTCTTTTGGACCAGTGTCATTCCTAACACTGTGACACTCTTATTTACAAGCAAACATGACCGCTGAACCGGAAAATTGCACCCGTAACCCCGCTGTATGTCCCTGAGGTCATTTCAGGTCATGAATGGTATAAGGCATGCCAGAGCGATGAAAATGCCTTAGATGTGTTCAGCTCGACGATACGGATCGACTGATGTGCAACAAAACCTTCGATGCTTCTCGACGGGAGGATCACGATGCTGATAAAAGTGAGCTCTTGCGCAAGTTTTGAGTGACAAGTTATCTAAGAAAAACTATCAGCAAGCAACGTACATTTTGGCAGTTTTTGTCTCCTGCAGGCTAAACCGTTAATCTTCGGTTGAATCTGAGGGCAGGCATCAGAAAAAAACGTTAAAGAGAGCTATCGAATGCGTTTTTCCGCAGCGCTGTAGCTCTATCCTTTCCTGAGCTATAGGCCAGTTTGTCGAAAACTGTCAAAGGTTGACCTGGAAATTAGCAAAATTTTACGTTCGATGACCTCTGTTGACCTGACCTTTGATTTGACCTAAAAAGTGACCATATTTTTTCTTCATCATTTCTTACGCTCTTTCGATCGCCGACTACGGCATTTCGCTAGTGACCCAGGAGCCAAGTTAGTAGGGGGTGTTCAACCTCCACCTCCAGCAGGGCGTAGAAATCCAGGAGCCCCAGCGGGGCGCGGGTTAACCCCCATACGTATAGAGGTAGCGGGTATTTTTCGGGAATAGATCACGTTAAAAGGGTCGGATTACAAAAAAAAAAACTGTACCATCGAGCCGATCATTTTTATCTGTCCTGAAAATGGCATGACCTTAACCCGAATAACCGTTGATTTGTGAGATCTTTCTTGAGATCATGGCAGGCCAAAAATCTCACTTCAAGAAGTTACAGCAGGACCCGATTAACCCGGCAGTTGTTATTGACCTATGGAAGGTCACCCAATGACCAACGACCTTTAATTTGGGTAGCAGCGGCTGCTTATCTTCACAGGCAATACGCTCAATTTTTCTGCAAAGCTCCAGCTCAGAGACCGAGATGCCCAGGTCAGGGTGCAATGGACGACTCCTCTCCCTTGCGTTAGAGACTGTGAAAACGCCAATAGAAGAGCGCCGGTTAGTACATGACAGTTACTTTCAACGACTGTACGGAATGGTGAGCAGCTACATGAAAATTGACATGCGCCAGCTAATCAGTTCATGCTTTGTGCGTTTGACCTCGACTAATCTTTGAATCCTGGGGCACAACAGTTGCGATGTTTGTCCCATCAAGGGAGCCATTAATTCTAAAAAAGATGAGGTTTTCTCAGCGGCCCTCATTACCCCCCGCCGAAGGGCGTCATTACCCCCAAAGGGGGCATGCCCCACCATTTGCCGACCCCTGCCCTAAAGCATACCAACAATATCCATTCAGTAATAGCAGTATTCAAAACATGTTCAAAATGCCTCGCGATATCGATAGCATTGCGAAAGACATAGGCGACTTATAACATACTTGAAATGATGACGTCACACATGCGTGACGTGACGTGACCTCGTCATTTCTGAGTTACTGTATGATGCACGAAAGACACCGGCATACCTATGCAAAGTTTCATCGCAGTCGGTCTACGCATTAACAAGTTATGGGCAAAACATTTTTTTTGCGTTGACCCCCGGCCATCCGTGAGGCCGTTTCCAACCATAGTGCGGCGGTCGGCCGGGCGGCGGCCTGCGGGGGGGGGAGGGGTTGCCGGGCGGCGGCCGGCGGGGCGGCCAGGCGGCGGGCGGGTCGTGGCAAACGGCAGGACAGCCAGCGGAAGCGTCAGGTGTGACGGTGGGCTGTCGGCGGCGGCATGACAGCGGTGACGACGAACGTAGCGGGCGTGACGGTTGGGTGTGTCAGCGGCGGCGTGACATGTTGGGTGACGGGCGAGGCAGGGGCGGCGGCGGCAAGACCGAGGTCCGGCGGCGGCGTGACGGTGTAAATGACAGACGAACAGTCCGTGTGACAGAAGAGGTAGTCAGCAGCGGCTTGACCACGTATGACAGACGGGACAGGCCGTGCAACGGGCGAGATAGTTGATTGTCAGCGGCGGCGTGACAGCGTATAAGACGGCACAGTCCAGGCGACTGACGATAGAAGCCAAGCTAGCGGCGGCGTGACGGCCTAATAGCAGACGGGAAATCTCACCGGCGACGGGTGAGATGGGCGTTATAGTAGGGCAGGGCGGACTGGCCGTCCGAGAAACTCTCATGACATAGCAAAGGAGCAGTAATCGCTACGTGATCGCCACGGCAGTAATCGACACACAAGTGGAGCGTGGACCACTCTGAAATGTTCAACACAACAATACGAGGGGGCGGTAGGTACGCCGGCACGGAGCGCCCGCGGGCCTAAGATTGCTGGTAGTGGGGTCGCTCGTGACAGCCTGGACACAATGGGGAGACGCCAGCAAGCAAAGGCGTGACTTACCGGATGCCCTTTCGCGTGTGGAGCGTCCAATCTCCGGGAGATGATCGCAGCGGCTTGAGCGCGCACGCACGAAAAACATGAGCGGCCGCCGTCTGACGTGCCACTCACGCACTGGAGGCGCCCGGCGGCCGGCGCAGTGTCCTCGCCAGGCCGGGCGGGCCGTATTTGCTTACCCGACCGCTGCGCTTATCTAGCCTCCTATTGGCGCCCGCACCCTCTGTGGCCGGCTCCCTCATATGCCGGGCATCTCCAGGAAACGGGGGGCCGGTTGCACCTCTAACGCCAAGCGTTAATGTATTTTGCACGGAACTGACGTGAAAAGACCATTTTCGTTTCAGGAATAAGACGAAGCCTTAACTTTTATTACGAAAAGTTTGCTTAAAAATGCACAGCAACGCGTAAGGAATAGGTACAAATTCGATCAGTTTTTGGAATTTGGAGAGACTTCTTTTCTTTGAGTGTATGCACTTCCCGCAGCGTCGCCTTTCTGGATCCGCAGTGCGTGACCAATGTTTTTATATTACTTTGTTGCCCCCTCACATTGCCCTACTAGACGATTAACCCGCGCCCCGCTGGGCTATTCAGCCATACGCGCCCTGCTGGGGGGGGGGGGGGGCAGATTCTGCCCCCCTGTCTAACTTCCGAACCGATGGTCGTAGAAAGACGGGGAAAACGGCAATCGAAAGCTCTCAACAAGGCGGATCTTCAGAGCCCAAATTTTTTTGCTTAAGTAGGTCAGAGGTCAGGTCAAGGTCAGGTCAAGGGTACAAAATGCAAGTTTCTACAGTATCGGCCTTGCACCGTAGTTGCCGAAGAATGGGCTGAGACTGATTGCCCAAAACGTAGACTACCCAGACAATATTCGTTGCACACAATGTCATTCAAAGGTCAAGGTCAAGGTCAGGTCAGGTCACCAAAAACAAAATATAGAAAAGGGCATGTGCGACACATGTTTTATGGGTCATTTTACTCATGGAATTCAATAGGCACACTCAATAAGTGATATGGACCACCTCTGGATGAATTTCAGGTCGAGGTCAGGTCAAGGTCAGGTCAAGTGAGGTCAAATTTAAAGTTGGTTGTTAAGGCCTAAAAAGGTGTCTATCCGATGCAGTTTTTCACGGCGAATCGAATGGTGCTATTTTTATTTCCGTGCGAGGTCTAGAACTTCCAAAAAAAATCATTTTTCAAAATTTTTGTGTGTCGTGACGTCATAAAATTTTGAAAAACTCCCACATTTTTGAACCGATTCTTCTAAAAATTGGTATGTAGGTGCACATAGACCACTTCTTTGACATATATTCCGGTTTTTTCGATAAACTCAAAATTTTGGATTTATAAATATTTTCCCAAAAAAGTCAGTTTTTTGGAAAAATTTTGGCCAAAATCCAAAATTTTCAAAAAACCGAGATGGCCATTTGATAGACAAAGTAGAATCACGTATAACCTTTTTTGTTACGTCTTGATTCCTTTAAAAATGAAGAAGTTAGCGGCGTTTGAAATTTTGCCGTTTTTTAGGCGAAAATGGCGAACATGACGTCACTAAAACGTCAATTTCTCAAAAAAATTTCCAAAGGATTTCGCTCAAATTTTCAGGGAACGTGTCAAATTGATGTATGATAAGGTACTGAAAGTTTGACGTCGCTGGCGTAACGCGTTTAGAAGTTATTGGCGAAAAACGGGAGGGGGGGGGGCAGATTCTGCCCCCCCCCCCAGCGGGGCGCGGGTTAAACAAATATAAGATACAAACCTCCAGCGTCAATGCTACCTAGCACAAAATTTTGCGCTGAACCTGAGTCCTTTTTTGGCATTTTTAACATTTGGCATAGGTCGAGTCAGGTCTGGTCAGGTCAACCGGTAAGTGGTACGCCAGCTAGCCAAAGAAGGTGTTAATCGCCAGTGACAGCTTCATAGTTCGTAACATGTTGCATTGGCACCAAATTTAGGCACTTCTCAAATGTTCAAACAAGGGCGGATCCAGGGGGGGGGGGCAACGGGGCCATGCCCCTCCCCCCAAGACGGTCAAAGGGGGGGGGATACTATCTTTTGGCCCCCCCGGACATAAGTCAAGAAAACTAAAAAAATAAACATTCTCAAAGTTCCTATGCTGAAAAACTGAAATATTGCTTTGATGATTGAGTGACCTTGGGGCAAACGTGAAAAACTCTGCCAACCAGAGTCAAAATGGCCTGTGCCGGCGAGAGTTAACATGTAGGAGAAATCGACATGATATCACATTTTTATTCGCATTCATAGGCACGTGTTCTGTATTGTGTACTGGTTGGTTTTTGTTATGTTGCCGCCGTCTCACTCACAAGCACTTCTTCATCAGACGGACTGTATTGGATCACGGCCGGTCAGAGAGTGACCATCAGTCGGTCAGCGGCGGTTCGTCTCGACCGCGCAGCTCCCCGACCTTCGACCCCGCCCCCAGGCAGTCGGTCGGTCAGCTGCGCCGAGCGGCGGCCCAGCCGCACGAATCGGGCGGTCACACGAGCGGTCACACGAGCGGTCACACGACCAGCACATGCAGCAAATAGACGGCGCTCACAGCACTCCTCGCCCTTTAACAAGTTTTTTTTTAGCCAGCCGAGCAGAGCGCCGCAAGGCCGGCGCCGCTTCTACCGGCTCTGATGCACGCGCGCCACGATTGCCCTCGCATGTTGCTCGCTTATTATAATCACTGATATACGGAAAACGCCCCCTAGCGTCCATCACACATGGCACTGCTGGACCGCGAAGCTTTCCCGGCTCCGTCGGAGGCGGCACCGTCACCCGCGCATCGAGGGGCCCACGCTCAGCCGTCACAGAAGCAGAGCCGTCGGCCAGCAGATGATCCACGTGGGCGAGACGTATGCGACTGTCCGGCAGCCGCACGCTGTACGTCAGTGGGCCTCCAATGGCGACGACGACAGCGCGCTGCCATTTCTCGGTCGCTGCTGGCCGCAGATCTCGAACCAAGACAGGTTGACCTGCAAGAAATGATCGTGAGACAGTGTCGACAGGCTCATGTCGCATCCGCGCTGCAACACTGGGCTTGAGGAGCGAGAGCTTTGTCCGAGGCAGTCTCCCAAAAAGCAATTCGGCGGGTGCCCGGGCTGTTGTGACGCATGGAGTCGTTCTGTATTTTGCCAGAAATTGTGCTACTGCTGTGGTTCTGGGTCCTGCATACCTCTTGAGGAAAGCTTTGAAGGTACAGCCCACCGCTAAAGTAATGTAGGGTTTTACCAATCTCAACGGTTGGCTTTGACTGGCGATTGTTTAATGCGGAGTGATCGAAAAGAAGATGTCAATAGCTAAAATTGCAGCTGCAAGGGTGACGATACATATAAGCTTCATTCAAAGTTTCATTGTAGTCTGGCTAATCGTTCCTAAGCTTCAGAAGCAGAACATACCAATGACTGAAACCCCATATTACTTCTGCTGTGGACTGTACGTACCAGAGACTCCGCCTGCCCGTTTGGCGCTGGGTGGTACGGCGGTGTCAGACGGTGATGAATATCTCGCGCTGCCAGGTAGCTCTGAAACTCTCCAGAGGTAAACGGCGGGCCATTATCTGACACCAACGTCACCGGAAAACCATGCGTTGCAAAAATGTCCGTCAACACTTCGATGGTCTTAGTAGCCGTTGTGCTAGACATGTATCGCACTTCTGGCCATTTTGAGTAAGCATCAACGAGCAAAAGGTAGGTTTTTCCTTCAAAAGTGGCAAAATCAATGTGGACTCTGTCCCAAGGCTGAACTGGGTATTTCCACGGGTGTACATTCTCTGGTTTGGGCATGTTCGCGTTCTCGACACAGGACGGACACGAACGGCATACTTTTTCAATATCTGCATCTAGCCCTGGCCACCAGAGGAACACCCTAGCCAGTGACTTCATCTTATGAATGCCAACATGGCCTTCATGAAGCTCCTTCAGTAGCTGAGCTCTATATCTGTCAGGTATGACTACCTTCTCACCGAGCTGTACGCAGCCGTCGATTACGGTGAGCTGCTCTCTCCGCTGCAGGTACGGCTTCAACCGGCTGTCGTTCGCGTGCCCGGGCCAGGCGCCGGTTCGAGCCCAGCCGAGCACCACGCTGAGCACCGGATCCTTGGCGGTGGCAGACGCCACCTGGGCTGCAGTGACAGGCAAGACGTCATCAACGGCACAACAGCCCTCCTCAACGTCCTCCAACACATGCACGGCTCGATCACATGTATCTGGCCCCGGCAGTCGGCTGAGGGCGCTACGTTCCGACTGCCCGGCAGATATTCTATATCGTACTGGTACATGCTCAAGAATGAGTGCCCACCGCTGAAGACGTGCTGCAGCCACAGACGGAACTTGTGTGTGTGGTCCGAAAATGTGACACAGCGGCTTGTGGTCGGTGACTAGCGTGAAGGAGCGGCCACACAAGTACTGATGCCACCGCTTGACGGCAAAGATTATGGCCAGTGCCTCCCTCTCTATTTGCGCATACTTTCTCTCGGCCTCTGTCAGTGTACGAGACGCAAACGCGATCGGACGCTCCCCCGACCCGTCCACGTGCACCATACACGCTCCCAGGCCGTACGCCGAGGCATCACAATACACCTTGACTCGCTTACCTAGATCGTAGTGAGTCAAGCAGCCAGCGTCTGCGAGCATGGACTTTACCTCAGAGAATGCCTCCTGGCATTTTGGGGACCAGTTCCACACGGTATCTCCCTTGGTGAGATCGTACCAGGGTATATTGAGTGAAGGGTAGGACGAACTTTGGTAGGAATTTCTAGTATAACTACTAGAAAACCTACTATATGTGGTCGGGACTAGCAAAAAGTTAGTTCAAACTAGAATATGGTAGCGCTTATGGTTGGCAGTCGTGACGCGCACGTGACATTCATTTCTGAAATTCCTTAAATAACAGGTTTTAGGGGCCGATTAGTGGGCAGATACATTCAATTAGCTATTAATAATTGATTATGCAAACATTCAAGAATCTACATCATTCAATTCTAGCCAAAATCACGCGGCGCTCCCAGGATTCGAACTCACGACCCTCGGATCCGTAGCCCGATACGCTACCGACTGCGCTACCGCAGACCGCGCGTCGATAATCGGAGAGGCGGATCGCGGGTGCTGGCGTGCAGAGAAATCTTTACCCTGTACGCCGTAGAAGATCGGCTGGGTTTCGTGAAAAATGGTAGAGGAATTGTCGAAAGAAAATTCATCGATCTATCATTTGAGACCAAGAACCATAGATTCCTTCAAAGGGTGACCGAGATATCGCTCGCCGAAAACAGGCCATTTAACATGTAAACCCTATGGGCTGGTAGGAAATGTACGCCGTGGAGCAGCAGTGCTACCAACTAACTTCGGCGGGGGCCGAGATCGTACAGCGGTCTGAGGACGGTGGACAGATGAGGAAGGAACTTTGCGTTGTATGTGACCATAACCAGGAATGTCAGCAGCTCCTTGGCGTTCTTTGGTGCCGGCATAGCCAGCATGTCTCTCACCTTCTTTTCGCTCGGTCGCACTCCCTCGGTGGTGAGTGTATCCCAAAAACTCCACAGACCTCTGGAAGAAGCGGCACTTCTCGCGGCGCAGCCGCACACCGTACTGCTGAAGGCGACTGAGCAGTTGTTCGAGGTTGTCCACGTGCTCCTGGCGAGAGGATCCGGTCACCAAAATATCATCAAGATAGCACGCGACACTCTTCAGACCTTGCAAAATGCTATCCATCGTTCTTTGCCAAATATTGGGAGCAATATTCAGGCCAAATGGCAGCCTCCGGTGACGCATCAGCCCTCGTGGCGTATTGACCGTAAGCAGTTCCTGATTTTTTTCCGAGACGCGTAGCTGTTTATATGCGTTTGCTAAGTCCAGTTTTGTGTACGACTCTCCCCCCGAGAGGCAGCTAAACATCTCCTCCGTAGTCAGATACAGATACAGATACAGATGTGTATTCATCTAGGATCCACAATAAAAGTGGCTTTTCACCAGACACGTAAAACCAGATAAAACGGGGAACATATAGACAGTACGAGTAGGCATAGATATCACTGGCAAACACAAACAAGCGTGCGACTGGAACAGGTTCAGACAGCTACTCGGCGTCTCGACATGATCACACGCTTCACATTGGCGCGAAACGCTGGTATATACGGGCTCAACTCGGTACCGTTTAACATCGCGACTCCTCTAATACATAGTCGACGTCTCCCCGTCTCTGTTCGGGCCCGTGGCTGTGTTATCAGCCCTGCGTTTCGGGTGTTGTATATCTACCGACTATCTCATTCCACCTGGATGGAAGCACGCGATAGTGACACCAATACCGAAAGGCAAAGCAGGGAACACGCCAGCAGACACGCGCCCTATTTCCATTTTACCAGGCATAATGAAAATAGTTGAGCGCATAGTTCAAACCCAGCTGATCGACTACCTATCCGAGCATTCTCTGCTGGCAGCCGAACAACACGGGTACAGGAGACTGTACTCCACAGAGACGGCCCTCAACGTCATTACTGACCGCATTCTTCAGTCCATGGACAACGGTGAAATTTCAATTTTGGTCTTACTGGATCTTTCAAAATGTTTTGATGTCGTGTCTCACCAAAAACTCCTGCAAAAACTTAGCCTATACGGTATCGACACCGACTGGTTCGCTAACTATTTGGCTGGGCATGTGCGACAGGTCAGAGTCCGCGCCGCTGACGGCTCCAGTATCACCTCCCGACCGAGAGAAAACACCATTGGTGTTTTCCAGGGAGGTAGTCTCAGTTGTGCCTTGTACATGCTTTTTGCTAACGATCTCAGTCTGCACATGCCCGACGGAGTCACCATAGTACAGTTTGCAGATGACACTCAAATTTTGGTCACTGGAAAGAAACGGGATTTGGATTGTATCATTTCACGCACTGAGGCCGCACTCGACGCCGCCTACCGATGGTTTTGCCACAATGGCATGAAAGTTAACGCCGCCAAAACACAGATGCTGGTGTTGGGCACACCAGCTATGTTGCGTGGACTCCCGCCCGTCACTGTCAACTTTTGTGGTTCAACTGTAGTCGATGCAGGGACGGTGAAGAACCTCGGACTTTATCTCGACCGCCATCTGAACTATCAAGCTCACATCACCGCCATGGCATCAAAATGCACAGGAATTTTAATCGCTCTCAGTCATGCCCGCCACGTGATGCCAGCAAACACACGTAAGGTAGTTGTTCAAGCCCTAGTCATATCGATCGTGCGGTATTGTATAAGCGTGTATGGGTCGTGCGGTGTGACCCAGATGGCTCGTGTCCAGAAAATTCTCAATTTCTGTGCCAGAGTCGTCAGTGGCCGTAGACGCAGCGACCACATCTCTGACGTCATACAGCAGCTCGGCTGGCTGCGGGCAGACGAATTAGCCGAGTACCACACTATCTGCGCAGTCCACCGAGCCATCACATCGGGTACTCCTGAACATATCAGTGATACCATCGGTCCTGTAGCCCGCGATAGTCTAGTCGGTAGCGGATACGACTGCTGTTTGACATATCTGTTAACTGTGACTTTAAAGTCGGCACAGATCCGCACATTTCCTCCCGGCTTCTTGACAATTACCAAGGGTGCGGCCCACTCGCTCTCCTGTACCAGGTAGAGCTCACCTTCCTCCAGCTGCCTGTCGAGCTCCTGGTTCACCTTCTCCCTCAGTGGAAACGGTACCGGCCGGCTCCGGAAGAACCGTGGTCTGGCATTGTCGTCCAGCTCGATGTCAGCTTCGATGCCTCTGATCTCCCCCAGCTGATCGGAGAACACATCTTCATATTTCTCCTGCAACTGGGAAGCAGACATGCACACTGTGTGAACGTCACGTCCGTGAAACATTCTATTCCAGTCCAGCTTTACACGGAACAACCAATCACGGCCTAGTAGCGGGTACTTGTTACGCACGTTCACCACCAAAGCTGTACAGGTCCCGCGGGTTTTAAGCGTAGGTTTTGCCTTTTTGGCTATATCTTTTTCGTCTTCAGCTTTGTAGGCTTGAAGATGTGACCGATTTATTCGTATAGCTCCCTTCCATGATCATGGAAAAAGGTTTGATCGTATGCCGGCTAGTTTCGGAGAAATTAAAAGAAAACCTCAAAATTCGCTGTTTGGGGCATTCTGACCGCGGCTTCCCTGCAGTCGCCTATGACTACAGTGGTGCCACCCAACGGGTAGGACGCTGAAACACAGAGGCATGAATGAATCCAGCGCGTGGTGAGCGGTGGATAGAGGTGGGACTCGGCAGAGGCTACCACTGCGGCCCGCACAGGGCGTCCTTGGACAGCGGGCGAGCCTTCGGGCGGTGAGGCCATAGGTCACGACAGCCAGGCGCTGTTTGCCATGAAGGGAGGGGAGGCGCTCGCCTCAGCCAGCCTCGCCTCAGCCAACTCAGCCGATTTGGTGGTATAGTTCGTTTATTTTCAAAAGGACGCTGGCTCAAAGTTCAATATCGAAGCTCTCACGTGAGTTTTGGCAGCTTCAGTGTCTGGCCAAGAATTTCTTACCGAAAAAATAATCGATTTCAAATTTTGCACGGTAAGTAGCTGGAAATTGTTTCTTAAAAATGAACATAATATGATGACGTCACTGGTGGCAGCAGGCACCCAAATGCCCGTGCAGTGGGACAAGTGTCAACGAATTTGAGTGAAACTTAGTTTTTCACTGTTGCCGAGCTTATAATCGAGTGAGCGGTTCCGTCCATGATAGTCATAAGTTAAATTGAAATACATTTTCGATAGCATGACGTCACCGCTGTTATCATATCTGCTTCCAAAACGCCCATATGGAAATTATCGGGAAGAAATCACATGTTAAAATTAGTCGACGTTCGATTTTCTCAGGTTCAGTTTTTGCTCGTTTTGCTCGCTAAAACACGTGCTTGTTCGAAAAACATACTTGGAGCCAGCGTCCTTTTGAAAAAAAAAAACGAACTATAGTGGTGGTGGTGTGGGAGGGGGGGCAGGGGAGAGGGGCTAGAACGAACGGGATAAAATAGAATGGAAATGTCGTGCCATGGTCAAATTACAATATTGTTTACCTAAAAAGCATTTATTAACATTACGAAAGAACTCATCATAATAACTTGAGAAATATACAGGAGATGTTATTTATCGATATTACCGTTTACTTTTAATGGAAACCCTACTTCTTATTAGGGGTGATAAAATGAACCCCTCTCCTTGGTTCTTCCTGAACAACTCGCGTAAGTAGTGGCGGATATCAGCGAAGCTTTCAGTGCCGTAAGTTATTTTTTCTCACCATAAGTAAATAAATACCTATGCGGTCAGGAATCATGATAAGTTCAGACCATCTGCACTTGACAGTTTACACCTACCCTGAAAATTGCATGACCCTGACCAAAATGACCTTTAATCTGTGACCAGTTTCTAGAGTCCATTTACATTATATTCTACTAGAATTCGGCGTGTCAGGTCTCATTAACCGTCCGTTTCTAGACTTAAGATTAGAAATGTCCCAACAAGTGAAATTACGTTTAGTCCCTTGTGTCTTATTTGGCCGGGACTAGCAAAGGAACTTGGCCGGTGCCTTCAGGGCTGCTTAACTACAAATTTGCCGATCTGCGGAGCGCATGGAGCCAATCTATAGCCAGGTTCAAAACCACTAGGAATGACATTGCGGCACAGCCAATCTTCAAGGTTTCCGCGTCCCTAGAATATCTGCTGTTTAGCTGCCGGTTTCCGGTCACATGGCCTAAAGGCGACGTCACTAGCGAAGGAAATGGAAACACGTTGAACAGGCTAGCTGTGAGAAGGATTAACGTTCATTTTAAATCCGTGCATTGTCGCTTGATATCTGTACCGATCATTTTCTAAAAAGGCTAATTTCTCTCTGTCTCTCTGTCTCTCTGTCTCTCTGTCTCTCTGTCTCTCTGTCTCTCTGTCTCTCTGTCTCTCTGTCTCTCTCACTCTCTCTCACTCTCTCTCACTCTCTCTCACTCTCTCTCACTCTCTCTCGCTCTCTTTCACTCTCTTTCACTCTCTCTCACTCTCTCTCACTCTCTCTCACTCTCTCTCACTCTCTCTCACTCTCTCACTCTCTCTCACTCTCTCTCACTCTCTCTCACTCTCTCTCACTCTCTCTCACTCTCTCTCACTCTCTCTCACTCTCTCTCACTCTCTCTCACTCTCTCTCACTCTCTCTCACTCTCTCTCACTCTCTCTCACTCTCTCTCACTCTCTCTCACTCTCTCTCACTCTCTCTCACTCTCTCTCTCACTCTCTCTCTCTCTCTCTCTCTCTCTCTCTCTCTCTCTCTCTCTCTCTCTCTCTCTCTCTCTCTCTCTCTCTCTCTTTCTTATACCGAAAGCTCCATAAAAGCTCACGATAACAACTTCTAGGCAGGTCTATACCCTTCCGACTATTGGGTCATTAAACTGACTTGGAAGGTCAACGTATGACCTATGATCAACGAATGACCTATGATCTATAAATTGGGTATCATCGGCTTCCTCTCGTCATGTGCAACATGCTCCCTCTTTTCAAGAAGCTCTGGTTTGATCAAAAGCCGATCAACTGTGGGGCCTGATCCATCCCCGCCCAAATATTATCGCTTGCGAAAACGCCGATATGGGTGCGAGTTATGACATATTCCTATATAAACATTAAAAAATATTATGCTTTGTTTTTTAGTGGCTTACGTCGATTTTTTTTTCTAAAAAAAAACACAAAAAATCAGCATACAGTGATGTTACTTAAACTTTTACGCCTAGGTTCCTTTTTAATAATACTGCAATTTCATTCAAGCAACATATTTCTTGGTCAGTTTTGCGGCAAGTTTTTGGAAATATAGTGCGAGAGAAAGCAAAAATTTGTTGTGAAACAACCTCCAGTCTCAGCAGGTCACGGTTAACTCTCGCCCCGTTGGGGGTGGGCAATATAGCCCCCCGTGTATTTTCCTGAATAGCAAGAAAACGGCGGCGCGCAGCCCCGCAAAATTTTCAATAGCTTCCCGGGCATCAATTTGACACTCACACAAAACTTCAAGTCTTAGGTTAACTTAGGTCAAAAGTTATTGAGGTCAAACTGAGGTCATGTTCGAGCAAAAAATGAGCAAAATAAATCTTGAAACGCTCACAAAATCTTCAGTTAACAAGAAATTTCAAAGCTCTCTATCTGGTCGCGTAAAGAAAAGACGGCGCTACAAAACTGCAATCTGGGATTTCCAAACTTTTGAGCTTTTGACCCCCCAAATTTAAAAATTGGTCTCTTATAAAAAATAAAAGTTTTTTCGAGTAAAAAAAAACGGAATATCTACATAACAAATTGTAGATCGATGCCTCCTTTTTTGGCCAAGTTATAGCGAAAAAGCTGTTCAAAACTGATGACGTCAATTTTTTAACTAAATTTTTAACAATTCTAGACCACGTAGCGCAAAACAAACCACCATGATTAGACTCCCCGTGACGAGCTGCATCGAATCGATACCAATTTTATGCAAAAATATCAAATTAGAAATTTGACCTAATTTGACCTGACCTTCACCAGAACATAACCCAAATTGGCCCCAAGGGTTGCCTGACCCACATAATCGCATTTGTCATGTAAAATGGACCAGAAAACATGCATCACACAATAGTTATCTTCATATTGTGACCCTCAGTGACCTGACCTCTGTGACTTGACCTGGTATCAGTGACCACAAATAGCAAAATATGTGTTTGACGAACAATTCCCCATCGAAAATTGTCATTCATCGATTCCTTATCAATGAATGACTTGCATCTTACTCGATTTTACAACACATTTCTTGAAATGCCTGTAAACGGTGAAAATTTGACATTTGACCGGAACTGTGACGTCATCGGTTTGACCGAGGTCAATGAAATTGAGCCAAAAGGTATTTCCTCGTTGGTGCCATCCAACACCGTTTGCTGCTTGTCGTTGTTTTGCGTGATCTCGAGATCTTAGGGGGGGGGGCAAAATGCCCCCCCCCCCCCAATGGGACCGATGCTCGGGTAACGGGGCGCGGGTTAAATGTCAGAACTGTTCCCAAGAAATAACATTGCAGTCGTCTCCCGGCCTCGGCTGAAACTTTGGACGACTACCTATGAATCGGCCCGCTGCCGGCTCACCCCGCCCGCTGGCTACGGGTGGCCTTGACCGTTCAATGCCAATTGGCCAACGGCCGAGGTCGTGCGCTGGTCAGCACGCAGAGAGGACGGGACGCGGTACTGCACATGTGAGTGACCTCTGACCTTTCCCCGTCCCCTGACCGCATGCCGTGTCGCCGGCCCAGACGATAGAAACCGTTTTTAGCCTCTACGCAGGCTGCCACTCTAACCCCTCACTCCCCACTTTACTATGTGCCGTAGTACGCGCTCGCGAGTAACTGGGCGGAGCAAATGGTCACCGATACAGAGGCGGAACTGGTTGCCCTCCCGCTCGCCGAGCGACCTACCGCTAAAACCCGCGAGACCTGTACCTGTGAACTGCTGGTCATCGTGCTGAACATGAGCACGCATCTCTCCACACACGTCAATGGCGTGCCATCATACTGTGACAGTCTCTTTTTTTGTGGCTACCAGTGGCTCTGAGTCGTACCCAAACACTCTCTCGAATACATGCTCTGGAATCGTAGTGATTTCTGCACCCGTATCTATCTCCATCTCTAGCGGCTTACCGTTGATTATCAGAGTCGTAATCAACTTACCGCCTCGGGGTTGATGGGTGTGGAGCACCGAATACTCATCTCCAGAGTCCTCTTCCAGTTCTCCAGTCTGATGGACCTCTCGTCCACCGGATCTTCCTCCTTTCTGGTGCCTGTTGTCCGCTGTGACTGGTCCTCTTCCGAGCGGTCGACTGGAAAGGCCTGACCGCGCCCCCTCCCGACCGGATGGTCCAGGCCGCGACCCTCCCTCGGCACCGCCGGCCGGGCCACTGCGGCCGCCGCACACTGGTCGGAAACGCCCTCACGAGAGGCCACGGGCGATTCCGGAGTTTCGGATTATTTTTTATATAGATCGATTTGAAATTGATCAAATTATTATACTTAGGCCAAAAAAACTAATCCGGGTGACCAAAAATAGCTGTAATCAGCCCCCGAAGATGGGGTATCCCAGAACTCGGAAATTGACGCGGAGCAAGAGGTTTCTTGAGCCGGATATTCAGAGTCTTACTGCTGATAGACATCAAATTGAAATCCCACATATTATGCATCAAAATGTTCGTTATGAAGTTGCCGACTGGTCAGTGCAAAATTTTTGGTATACTTTTTCCCTAACTAAGATGTACTATAGCTTTTTTATGAAGGCTCTCCTACAGTGATTCTGGAATATAACTGCAAAGTTTAGGTAAGGAAACAACAGGTAGTCCCATCTAGTTCCACTCTGATTTTTTGTGAGATGAAGTAGGATTTAAATTTACACCAGGGCAACATAAAAGCTAACTGCGCATATTTGCGCAAAATTTGCAGGAGCCGCTCTTCCTACCCAACTACCGCCCGCCCCGCCCCAGTTTCGGCTCGGCCGCCGCGCCCGGCTTACGCTGACCTGTGTGGCCTGCACGCATCCATGCGTAGTTGACTGGTCATTAAAACAGATGCGCTTGAGTTTATGAATTTTGTGAAAAGCGCGTTTTATGTATGCATTTATTTATGCATTGACATCAAAAGCCTTCCACATATTGCGTGGCAATTAAGGCTTGCATTTAGAGAGCCTTGCAATTGATAACCATCACTCGGCTGAACAAAGTGGAAACTGAAACCTTCGTGAATATAAGACGCTGCAAATATAGGACACCTGTCACTGACGTCGGGTTACCTTGGGCCGTCTTTTTACATTAGATCACAATTCCGGTATTTAACCCTGGCCGGACCGATTGGTTTTCTACATTGACCGGGGAGGGTTGGTACAACTCCCTCGCCGTTTCGCCTCTAATTGAGCTAGAGCCTCGCGGAAAAAAAAACAAGCTTGTGTGCCGTTATAAGACGCAAAAATTAGGTACTACCCGATTTTAAGGTCTTAGGTCAGCCAGTGACCTCTTAGGTCAGGTAAGTGCCACAAGGCACGGGCTCGGTTTTAGGTTAATTACTTTGCCAAAAATGGTCGCACTGCCGCGATTTTGGCATAATCGTGTTTGTCTAGCTCAGGCGCGTTGAATGCTATACTTGGTGTTCGGGTGAAGTCAACTTAACCCTCGCCGGCACAGGCCATTTTGCGTCCTTCGACGGCACAAGGGGGGGGGGGGGAGGTTGGTACGACCCCCCCTCGCGTTTGGCCCCTGATCGAGCTAGAGCCTCGCGGAAAAAACGAGCGTGTTGCCCGTCACGAGAGAAAGCCGATGATACTCAATTTTAAGGTCCTAGGTCATCGGGTGACCTTCCAGGTCAGGTCAATGACCCGAAAACCGGGAAAATCGGGACCTGTTAGAAAGTCGTAAATTGTGGCTGCTATGTGGTTTTCCGGGGTGCTGATCACGAATATCGTATTAGTTTTGATCAGAGATGATGTCTTTAAGCATTTAGACCAGGTCGGGTCAGGTCAGGTCAGGTCAACCGGTAGGGGTTGTGACGGGTATTCGTAATACGTGTCAACCGCCTCTGACAGCTTCGTGACATGTTCCGAAGGCGCCAAAACTGCTTCGTAAATGTTCAAATGGTTGCTAAATTGAATTCAGCTCCAAAAACTAGCCTAGAAACATGTAAAACTCGAAAAAGTGAACCGAGGTCACCCGAGGTCACCAAAGGTCAATGACCTGACCTGACCTTCAGGTGACCTTGACACCCATCCTTATGTATGGGAGCAACATCAAATCACATGTTTGAACGTTTGAAACCACGAAAAGCTTGCAAACGCGCGGCTAATGCGAGCTGACATACGCCGAATCGCGATTTCGGCCAAACATGCTCACGGAAAAGAGGTCACAGGTCAAAGGTCATTAGAGTCAGGGTCATGAAATTTGAAGGGTAGGTGTAAAATTGATCAATGCGAGGGTACTGAAAGTTTCGTCGCGATCGGCCGCTTTTTACGCGAGTTATTCGCGAAAAACCTTAGGGGGGTTGCATCAACCCGCCCTGTGCCGGCGAGGGTTAAGGTGTTAACCTCGGGTCAAGGTCAGGTCGGAGCCCCTCAGGTCACGAAAATGGTTGAAGGAGGTCATATTGCATATCATTCGATTCGGCAGGCCTTCCTGAGTCCAATGGTGGCTTTCCCGACTCTCTAGCTCCATCTGATCAGGAGTTATTGACGAAAAACTTACATGGCCTTAGTGACGTCATAAATGACGTCACGCAAAGTCAAAAATGCTAAAGTCAAGCACTGGACCTTGCAAGGAGTGCATGAAACCATTCCCGGTGCCCGAATAGCAGCTCCCAATTTCCCTTGTTGACTTAAAGTGGTGCTAGATCCTGTATTATACTCAATTATGACGTCATAACTTAACAGATTCACGTCATATATTTCGTGCTTGACATCCAAATGATAGCTTACATATGACAGAGAAGGTATGCAAAGTTTTATGAAGTTTGCTTCACTAGTTGTGGAATAACAAGCAAAAAACGTTTGCGGAAAGGCCGCTGGCCTCTCGCTGGAGCGTTTCCGACCAGTGTGCGCCGGTCGGGTCACCGCGACTCGCGGGTCGGCCACCAGGCGGCAGCACCTCACCCGCCGCAGCGCCCGCTCCCGGGTTCCTGCAGACGGCTGCCAAATGACCGCGCAATCCACACGCAAAGCAGACAGTAGGGGAGAGTGGGGCAAAGCGGCCACCCTAACGCTTCTTACGATACCGACGCTTGATTTCTAAACTTGGAAAGATTCTTTCTATACCAATGTGATCCCTATTAAATTGCCTTTTATTCCAACTGCGTTTCATTTCCAAAGGCGTTCACATATGGGAGATATTGACAAAACTTTAAACCTATAGCATATTGGCCACTTTGCCCCATCCCTGAGGCAAAGCGGCCACCGGCGACTTCTCAAGTCCCGATATGAGAAACTGAATAGTTGCCTCATATACGACTAGGGTATTTGATGGTGACAATGTTTAAGCGTGGATGGATGTTTACTTAGTTATCTTCCCACCTGTAGATAAACAAATAAAGGATTTTCATAGAAAAACATTTAACTGCATTATTTGGTAACTCTTGTAACCGAAAAATGGTCAAACTGAATGCCTGACGACACATTTCGATATAAATAATGTTTTTATCCAGATGGAAACAAGTTATGGCCAATTGGGGGCTGGCCACTTTGCCCCGGCCACTTTGCCCCGCGCATACCGTCCGAGGCAAAAATATTCCAGCTCAGCTATAAGTGGAGTAAAAAGCATTAAAGGAAGACTGCCACCTTCAAAAAGTTTTCTCAGATCGGCCTATGATTTATTCCCTGGACAAAACAAAATTTTAGAATTCACCTGACAAAGTATCATCACGTGAATCGCGAAAAAAAATGTCGATTATCATACAATTATCAATCGGTTAATGTCTAGCGACAATGTTTACACATCACTAGACTTCAAGGTCATAAGATTATTACATTTTATTTGAAAAAGTAAGGTATTTTATGATTTACTGATATATATGATTTCATAAGAAATTGGCCATGTTTAATTTATTTTGCATTTAAGTTCGTAAAACATTTAAAAATCATGGCTCATTTGGAATGGGTCTGGCCCATGTTAAACCCCATTTCCCACACTTTTTTGGAACAAATGAACTACTGAATATATAAGTTTAACTTTTATTTTGACACTCCAAAATTCTTCTCTGATCTCGAAACAATCAAAGTTTTGACATATATTTACCAAAAGATAAGAAAATTAATGTTTCAAAGTTATCGATAAACAGTAGAGATGTCGGTTTTCTTGGACTAAAAAAATGGCATCAAACTGAACTTTGGTCTCCGATTTCTCGCAAACGGGTTCGAATTTCGGAAAACCGACTTCAGTCTGGGACATAGGTGGCTCAGCTCTAGTGAAAACCGTTTTGTGGAAAAAAGGTGGCAGTCTACCTTTAAAATTGGTAGGAGTCATGTACGATAAGCACACAATGCATGGACAAGAACGCTTATAAAAATTCCAAATGGTTATGGAATAAGATAACATTTAAAAACTGTAAACATAGTTGGTAACCTGGCAAGAAATGCTTTTCCGTGTTTCACAGAGCAATGGCGATGAGCGTGAAACCACGGTCTGGCTCATTCGAACGGCCGCGAAGAGAAGTATAATCAGAAACCATAAATTGGAACTGACGCCAGATGTGGAGGGCTGAAACGATGGGTGGCCGCTTTGCCCCGGGTGGCCGCTTTGCCCCACTCTCCCCTACGCATGAACCGACAACGATTCGCAAGATGGGTTGAGCTACCGCATCGAAAACATGATCTGCCTAGAGACCCAGTAGATACAAACTCCACCTGGTGATGGGTCGGATCTGCCGTTGAAGTCGGTTGCGTCGGGTGAATCGCCGCGGACTCCCTGGCGACCGCTTCATATGACCTGGCGTGCTGAACTGCATCCTGCAGCGACAGTGACGACACGCACAGCAACTCCTTCTGACACCTGGCATCATTCAGTCCACACACGAATTGATCACGTAGCGCAGTATCAAGATATAATCCAAAACTGCAGTGAACCGCGAGCTTCCTGAGAGAAGCTATATATTCGGCAACAGATTCTTCACTGTTTTGTTTCCTTTGAAAAAATATGTATCGCTCTGAGATCTCAATCTTTGCTGGACTAAAATGAACCTTCAAAACATTCTTGATCTGTTCAAAAGAAACCGCGTCCAACGTTTGAGGACTAATCAGAGCCTTGACTTTCTCAAATGTGGACTGACCAACAGAAGACAAAAATATGGCTTTCTTCTTACTCTCTGACCGGACCTCATTAGCGACACAGTAAAACTC